CTTAATTGGCGAGTCCTCTAGGACGGTTTATGGGCCGGGAATAGGGAAATAGGAATAAACAATGGAACGCAGATTCGAGAGGGGAATTGCAATGGAAAGAGACCTGCAATTGTCCTCGGTGAATGCGCATTGCCGGGCCCGATTTTACGATCCCTCGAGAACGCGGCTGTAATTTTATTTTATAATTGTTTCCTTTTTCATTATTTCGCTACCTTTATTTGCTGAAGGAAACGCGAGAACCAACGTGTGGTGGGTGATTATCAGGTTTAGTGTTGCGAGGGATTTCTTTTTTTTTTTTTTTTGATAGTGATGGTACTTGGCAGCAGGTCTTCAAGGATCCAGGATTTGGCCGATGAGGAAATCCAGTGATCCTTGGAGAGAATTATTTAATCGGATTTCTTCTCCTTGTTGACACTTCGACAAAGGGAGTGGCTCTTATTCCTCTTCTTCAAGGACCCTACTCGCACGAAGGAGCGATTTTTCTCGGTAAATGGCTCGACTCTGTCATTTGCCACACGCTAAGGATTATCAAGTCCCGGTAATCCTTTCCTTAATCCGGAGGAGGAAAAAATGAAATGTCGAAATTCGTCGAGTCGGATGCAAATCCCGCGGCCTGTCGTCCATAGAGATGATAATTCGCGCAATCGTAGCGATGCACTACCACGTGGTGGCAAGTTAAACCTGCAAATATTACCCAACTCGGACATTAATCAACAATGATAATTATTTGACGCAGTGTTAGCTTGCGATTCTGGGAAGGATAGGAGACGACTTCTTCGCGGGGCCCGAAGATCGCGGAAATTTTCGCACGTGGAGGCGCCGAGATAAAGCACGACCCGTTTTTTCAGGTGCGCCTTTATCACCGCGGAATCGAAAAACCCACGTCTGCGAACACGAGCTCGGAACATTAGTAGGATTCCGCACCCGGGCCAAAACGTCCGGCCGACCAGCGTTTCGTTGGCAAATATTGGGACGCTAAACACGCGCTCGTTACAGGCTACAATCAGCCCGTGCTCTTCAAACTCTAAATCCTGCCGCGAAGGATGGAAAAATCGAGGCCAATCCGCGTGGAATACGAAAGTCGGATATCTTTCAAAGCCGCGTGATTTTTTTCCGAATTTTTAGACCGAAGGAAAGTGCTGATAAGGGCGAAGTTTAAGAGCGCTGCGCGCCAGGGCGCTGTAGAGTCCCGCGCCAAGTACGTACCAAGCGACTCGATCGGCGCGTAACTCGGAGAGGTAAATTCGACGGAGGTTTCGGTAATCGCATTAAAGAGGGATAACCCGGGAGGCATTACGCCACCTTGGGACGGTTCCATCAGCCCGAAAAGACGCCCCGAAGTGGCTCGTAACCCTTCGCGGAGCTTCCGCGGCGGTATCGCCGTCAAACGATCGGCAGCGCCGCTCCGCGCGGGAACCGGATTTACGTAATTGATTTAATCAACGAATTATCCCGGATAACTCGTAATTGCCCGACCGGTAATGAATCAACATGCACGCCGGAGTATAACCGCCGGCACAAAGCGCGTTGCGCAACGGCGGGAACAACGACGCGGCAAATAATAAATTATGCAGATCGTCCCACGTGCTCGGCGTAACGAAGCGCGGAAAAACCGACGCGGCGAAAGAGTGCCGAACCTGACGACTAACGACAAGTGTTGGCACGACTGAAACGGGGAGAGTCACCGAGCACGGCCGTTTAACGGCGCTACAGCGTTGGAAAAACGACTCAAATGAGAGAAAATCGTTAATCCGCTCCTTTCCTATACAAGTCGCAACGGAGTTGTTAAGAATAATGGAGAATCGCATGTGACGCCGTTAAACGACCGTTAAAAGACCGTTAAACGGCGTTACATGCGATTAACGACAAGTGTTGGCACGACTGAATCGGGGAGAGTCGCCGAGGACGGCCGTTTAACGGCGCTGCAGCGTTGGAAAAACGACTCAAATGAGAGAAAATCGTTAATCCGCTCCTTTCCTATACAAGTCGCAACGGAGTCGTTAAGAATAATAGAGAATCGCATGTGACGCCGTTAAACGGCCGTTAAACGACCGTTAAACGGATGACGAGTTTCCGTTAAACGGCAGAAGGGGTTCGCGAAATCGCAAGCGCCACTTAAGGGAGGGAACGGGGTACCGTCTGTTTCTTCGACGTTTAACGGACGTCACTGTTAATCGCGGTTCCCAGAGAAGTTGGCTAGAACTTCCGTTAGTTCCCGCACTAACGACAATTATGCAAATGGGGCCGCGCGAGGCAACTACGCGGAAAGACGTGACGGGACGACGCGCCGTCACGAAACAACGCGACGAGGGGCAGGAGTAACGGCGAGCCTTCGGCTTCGTTACACCCGATGGGTCGCCGTTATTAAAGGCCGGCGAAAAAATGATTACCGAGTCCGGGGACGCCCCCGGCAGATGGCTCTGCCGTTGGCAGAGCGCGCGTTCCATTTTCATAAATATTGTACTCGTTCGGCGAGGCATCGCGTGCAGCTGCAACCTACGTGACGTTTTAACGGATCGAATGTCCGACTCTGTAACGGAGGGGGCTGCCTTTCCTTCCGTTGGGCGCCGTGATAGACCGAAATAAACGACGGGGAAGGAAGGTACAAAAAACAGGGAGAGAGACAGAGAAAAAGAAGGGGGAATAAATTCGGCCTGCGTTACACGGCGCGTTTCGATTAATTCGATGTCAATTAATCTCAGGGGATGACGCCGTTTAACGGGGCGTTTATTTCCGAAGCGACAGAAAGGGCCGATGGGAAACTCTCTCTTGGCAGTTTTTGGATCGAGTTTCGGGGGTCGTGGGCATTTTTAGGGCCGTTTCCGGGGGGCTAACGGGGATAACGGCGGGCCAGGTGCATCCTGGCGAGGGGCTGATATCACTGCGAGCTCGGTACATTACACAAAGATATAGAACTATTATGTTCCACCGATAACGTCGTGACGTATTGGGCCGTAGGTGGTGGGCAAACGACACGTATCCGCTACACGGTACATCCGCCGCCGTGTAACGAATGAGTTTAATATGAACGAGATGTATCCGTCAGGTGGCAGAATCGTATCTCGGCGATGCATCGCCGATGGAAAAAAGTTCACGGGCCAACGATTATGTCGTATATCCCAGGGCCGGCCGCGAGCGTTTAATTTTCGGGGAATTAAACGCCCGGCGTTATCCGACCCCGTGATTAATCGACGGCCTAACCTAACCTATACGCAGTTGGCGTTAAACGCCCCCGCTCTAGATAACGATATCCAAGAATCATGAATTAATCCAAATTAAAAGATCCTCTAAATTCCGAGGGTCCATCCCCGAATACCACCCACTCGCAAGTCCACCCTACCGCAGCCGCGTCGCGGGGGGCCCCCTGCAAAAACCTCCCCCACCCTCCACCCGCAAATCCGCGGAATTAGCGGAGCTTCGTCGCAGACACGTCTGCAGTTCTCCGGCGAGACAAGTGGTTGCCATTACTCGGATTGCAAGTTGCATTATCGCGCACCGACCGCCCCCGAAGATCTGGGGCGCACACCCCCGCGGAAGTGCCTACACCTGTACCTGCACCTACACTGCACCTACCCTGCATCTGCCGAATGGACGACACCGACATAATCTCACCCTCCCACCCACCCTGACGTTTCCGTTTCTGCATATGCACCCTCGCCTCCCTGAAGATGTACTCCAACACCTTCGCGTACCCGCCACCTACACGCAAGTGCATCGCGGTGCATTCTCATTGCGATAATGCACAGCTAAGTGGCTGCTCCGTGCACGTTGTGTCTCGCAGTCTATCAATCTTGATCGTGGTATACGAGGGTACACGCTGCTGCTCCTGGCTCGCACCGAGGAGTAAATAGAGAGCACGGCGACGTCGTTGTCGCAGCTGCAACCTACTGACGGCGCGCCTGCAGCTGCTAATCTACCTCAGGGTGCACCCCGGAACGTTTTACGACGTGGCTCGATGTCGCCTTCGCACCTGTACCGCCCCCGACAATGATTCGTCTCTATTTATCTCAGGGACCCACGACCACCACCCAACGCCATTATACGCTACTTGTGCTTATTGTCGGGTCTTCGTGCAGAGCATTGTTCATTAGTCCCCGTCCCACCTTCCGAGGCATTTAGCCAGAGACTCTGATAACGCCACTTTAGAGGGAGTGATTTGAAATCATTAGGAGGAGATGATCCATATTCGGGATTCGCGACCATTTTGTCCTCTCTGGGTTTATTGTAGAATGTTCATGCAGAATACTGCTGATAATCCCATTTTGTCCTCTCTGGCTTTATTGTCGAATGTTCATGCAGAATATTGCTGATAATCCCATTTTGTCCTCTCTGGCTTTATTGTCGAATGTTCATGCAGAATACTGCTGATAATCCCATTTTGGGACGTCTTCAAGAGTGATTAGAGGGAGGAATTAAATCCAGAGGGGCTTTGTCACCATTCGATGTCGGAGGTTGTGATAACACCATTTTAGGAGTGATATGGAATTATATGGAGGGATGGTTCGTCTCCATCTCCGGGATCTAATCACCGGACGTCTTTTTATCCTGCTCACGTTTATTGTCTGATATCATGCAGAATTGTCCATTAATTCTCGTCATGACGCATTTTAGGTGATTGCTGATGAGCTTCCAGAAAAGCCATTTTGAAGAGGGATTTAAAATGATAAGAAGACGATGATACGTCTCTATTCCCAGGATGCACCGTCACCGGGAGGTGCTACTTTTTGCTACTTATATACTTGTCGGATCTTGATACATAGCATTGTTCATTAATTCCTTGATAATTGATGACATTGAGTTGCAGTGATTTTAAAGGCCGCGGCGTTTATGGGCCATAATTTTTTTATTATCAGCTTCTGTTTGCGAGGAAACAAACGTGGACCTATCGGGATGCTGTAATTTAAGAGATATTCTTTTCAAGCATCCATTACATGATTATTACATGAAGCAAAATCGGCGATAGGGCGGATAAAAATTCTATGTGGGAAATTAAAGAGACATTTTTCATTTTCTCCTTTTTAATAGAAAATACCATGAGCGATTTCAGAGTATCGACGTGGTGTCTTTACGTGACGGTCGTTACCTCCAAACCGTTACCGAACAATAACGAGGTTATTACGTGCATCTTACGCTTATCGTTAAGGAGATTTGTTTTCGGTATTGTCTGGGCATTGTGCAGGGGACATTGTTGTGGGGTATTTTCCAAGACGAGAGGAGGAAATCAGACGTTTCGAGTCGCCTCGTTGAACGATATTATTCTCTCACTAAGATGTCGTTAATGATAATTACACGCCTCGCGTTATCACGGAACGTTGGAGGGAAAAATATCATCCCGAATAAAATACATAACCAGCATAAGACGTAACAATTAAAATATTAATATTCCTCGGTCAATAGCGGTGGCATATTAACGTACGCACTTAAATTAACTTAACCTAGGAAACGAGATGACAAATCGGATGTTATCGGTTATCGGCATTGACAACCGAGTAATGGCGGCGCGATGAAGGACCTCGTTTGGTAGCCTCTGATGAGTGATTGCGACAACCTCGCAGGTCTATTTCCATAATTGGATAAGAGTTGGCAATCGCAGTTGATTATCCATCGAGGATCTCGGGTTGCGTCTCGTCACGTCGGGTTCTTCTTCCTGGCGAGCTCCATTTGAATCTCCTGCAAGCTTTTGCCCTCGGTCTCGGGCACGAAGAAGTAAATCAGGGCCCAAAGCACCGTGGTGATAACAGAAAACACCCAGAATGGAGTATGAGTGCCGTATGACTCCTGCAAAGTCTGAAAAGTGATTCGAAAATGACCAGTCGAGCAAACGTTTCCTGAGAAGGGGAAAAAATCCCGAGGAGTTAGAGTACCCTGAAGAGGTAGCCGAAGACACGTTTCGCGTACGTGTCAAGAAGAAATGTTAAAAATGGTCATACCTGATAGGACTTGACGGTGACCGTGGTAGCAACGGCATAGTAGAGCGAACAGAGGATGGAGGCCGGTGCCTTGACTTCTAGGGAAAAGATCTCCCCAACGTACACCAGGGGGGTCGGGTTCAAGGCGAGGCCATACGCGAGGACGAAGATCACAACAAAAACCGTAGGGATCCACCGCACCTCCGTCACGTCCGTGCCATAGGCTTGGAGAGTGAAGAAAGTGGCAATTGCGACGAAGGACAAAGCGCAGATAGGCGCGGAGATAAGGAGCAGCAGCCTCTTCCCTGTGAACTTGACCAGGATCACGCATGTCAAGCTGGCGATGACAACGGCAGAGCCGTTGGTGATGATGCTGATGTTGGGGGAAACGTCGAAACCGGCCTGCTTGAAGATGTAGGATTGGTACGCCATGATAGGCGCGGCTCCGGTCAGAGTAAGACAGCTGATAACGATAAGAGCGATGCCGCAAGCCCTGATGTTCCCTCTTCTGCTGATGGCTAACTTCAGGGACTCAATGAAGCTGGAAGAAGAATGCTCTTCCTCGTGCGCGACCATCCGCTTGATCTCCTCCAGCTCCTCGTCGACGTTGTCCTTCCCTAGGGACCATTTCAGGTTCAGCTCCGCATTGCTCATGCGATTCTTCCTGGTCAGGTAGATGGAGCTTTCCGGCAGCCAGATGAAGGCGACGATGAAGGTGACGGGGATCCAGACGGCGATCAACGCCATGGTCTGCCTGGAGACCCATAGCCCGATTGCGTAGATCAGCAGCACGCCGATGTTGATCAGAACTGCTATGGAGGTGCCCAGAGGTCCCCTGGTGCTTTTGCTGGTGATCTCGCCAAGGTACATCGGGGTGACCGAGTAGGTGATGCCACACCCAACACCAGCTAGCAATCTGGCAATTATCATGGCCAGATAGTCCCTCCCATAGGCGATCAGCAGCCAGCTGACCACCTTGGGCCCTGCTGCCGTGAAGAGGGTCCACTTCCTGCCGATCCTGTCCATCAGCAGCATCGGGACCAGGGACCCTAACCCCACGCCCACGTACATTATGTTAATCACCCAGGCAGACTGGTCACTCGTAAGCGTTATCACGGGGTCTTCTCCCTCGAACTTCGGCAGGGTTGGAGTGCTCCATCCCTCGTGCAGACCACTGTCGATCACCAGCAGGTTACCTGAAATCGTTGGTCAGACATGTAGGTTTTAAAGGTACACCTTGCACAGGTGCTCGGTGCATTTTACTGTATTTAGAGACTCACACACTGCGCCTATCAGGATCTGCCTGAAGAGTCCTCTGTCGACTATCATCTTGGAGCTACTTCTCTTCCGGTTGGGCTCGTTGGGTATCCTGATCCTCTCTTTAGGGGGTCCTAAAAATCGACTCGATTATTTATTATGTACCTTCGAATTCCTGGCCATACCTCCTCGCTACGGCCATGTCGCATTAACGGGGTGTGCAAAAAGTCGTTCTCACCTGATCGCAATCGGCGTTTCTTCGGCGAGAGTGGTCTTCAAGGTTAGCACATTACGTCAGGTCGGATACCGTTTCGATGTCGACGACGAGCCGCATTCTCCTCCAGGTGAACGAACAGTCGTCCTTTCTCGAGGACGTAGGCTCGGCCTCGGCAATTAAATCTCCCCCAGGTGATCGAGAACGAGTCCTGGGATCGATTCGGGTTCTCTCTTCTCCCCTTTTTTGTCTTTTTTTCTCTCGATTTCAGCCTCGATTAATTATTTCCCTCAGTCCGGGCTCGTTGCCGCGCTCCTCCACTGTCTGAAAGGTCCAATGTGGTTTCGCGCCTCGATAATTAAATTCACCTCCAGTCTAGCCGAATCGAGAGGAGTATGTCGTGGAGTACTCGCGAGCTTCAAAGTTCGCGGGCGGACCTCGACTTCCGGGGGGGAGAAAGGAAAAAGGAAAATTTACACCTCACTCCAGCCACGATTATTGAGCCTCCTTTGATCACTTCGCGCGCGACGCGAGAGAGCGCCTGAAGAACCCGAGTCACTCTTTTTTCGAGTCCACCTGAGGAAACACCCAGTCCAGGTCTAACCACTGTTTGGGAATTCTGGAGGGAACGCGGGTTTCTATTTTTAAATTGACTAATTAGGATTATTTATTATACGCGGGGATGTCAACCCGGGCACACCTCGAGGCTCGGTCCTCGAATTATCCTGCGAGGTCTTGCACTGTTTTTAACGTTTAGATCGCGTTAGAAATTTTTTTTTTATTTAGTTTCTTGTGGGGTTGGTGTCGGCGACTGACACGGAAACTTCGACGAGTTCGGCTTGGTTAAACTCGAAGGCGATTTACGAGGAGTCTGGTCCAGTGCACTTGCGCACCGCCCGAGTCTCTCTGCAGGTGCGAGGACCCTGCACCTGTCTTAAGTTCCTTAAACCGTCGACGCGAGTCCACCCGAACGTCCCATCTCCCGCCTTCAGGAAAACCAATCGACGCGAGCCTGACGATTATCCTCTATATATAGCTCGAGGAAAAATCGCGCAAACGGCCACTGATCTCCGTCTCTCTCCGTCACTGGGAACACCTCTCTCGGTCTCTCAAGGACCCTAAGCTAAACTTTCGAGTCCGAGTGACTCTCGACGTTTGTCCTCGAGGAAGTCACGTGCCAGCCGGGCTCTTCCTGGTCGGCATTTCATTCGAAATTTTGTCTTACTTTAGAATTCCCACGCCGTTTAACCGCCGTTAGGCTCAAATTCGGGATTACTAAAACCCGAAAAGGACATTTGGAATTTTCTAGGATTTATGGTAGAAGAAATCCGAGGCCGGGAATTTCGCCAGAGGGGGGGAACGGAAGAGCGCTTTGTTGACCCTCTAGAGATCCGTTCCGACATCCACCCTCCGCAAATAAGGGTGCATCGGAAATCTCGCAGCATCCCTCGGTGATTGGCCCTGGATAGTAGCTATCAGACGTGCTCGGACACTCGATACGGCCGCGAGACCGCGTCCGTAACCCCTTAAGAGAACCACGGGGGATCCAAACTAGGTCCTAACTAGGTTCCTGGCTACATATCTGCAGGTGCCCCTCTCGTGGCCTCCTGGTGGCATAACGAATCCTTCTGCGGTCACTCGTGCTAATCTTCTTAGCCTTGAGGGGAATAATTTCGCCGCTCCGTGATTCCTCAGAGTCCGACTGATTGGATCGGTCGTAATCTCCCATGAACTCCTCGTTAAAAAATAAAGAAAAATTCAGCAGACCTCCACCATAAAAAAAAACCGTCAAAAAATATACTAACAGACCAGAAAAGTTCCCTTCAATTCCTAGACAATTTTTTTTTAACCCTCGGATTTCAGCACGTGCATCGAATCTGACCACGCGATGAAATATAGACGATGTAAGAATTGTCGGAAAATTAAAGAAGATCCTTTTGGGAGATATTGTATATTTTTATGCATTTTTTTAGGGGGGTTGGTAAGGGTTAGGTTTCGTCCAGGGGTCTGGCGGATGTTTTGCGCGGTTAGGGCGGGACGAATCCGGGAGTAACCCTTGAAGATGTTCACGATGGGACCATATGATTCCTGGGCTGATACCAGCAGGTGCAGATATCATCGGACATCAGGCCGGGGGAGATAACGAGCTCGCCACGACATAACCTAGACGTGACAAGTCGTGCGAAACTACTTGGCCTTCCGTGACGGGATCCGAGGTCCTGGACCGACAGTTATGGCGGCCGATACAACGCAGGGTTCCGGGATTACGGGAGGAGGACTCTGGATTAGCCTCACCTGGACCGAGTGCCTTAACCTGGATTTACGGCTCCGCTGGATTTCGGAATCGTGGGGCGCCAGAGATAATGCGTGACCGGGATTGATCTGGACCATGGATGCTGGAGGACCGGACGATAACGAGATGAGGACCTCTCGTGAGAATCTCTGATGACGGAGTGTCCTTCAGGGACGATCCCGAGGACCAAGGGATGCCCTCGGAAATTTCCGAAATTTTAGCCTTATCGGAATTCCAGAATTTCTGGAGATTTTACCGATTTTGCTTGCACCAGACTGGAGAAGTTCTGGTGCTCGGGATCGCGCGAAGATGGTTCATCTCGGTCTGATGGACCACTTCAAACGGCTCCGGATCTCTCCGGCGATGATTAGTATTTAGAGGACGCTGTAAATTTCAATGCAGGAACTAAGGACCAGGAAAGGTCTATAGACATTCCGGAGCTGATCAGAATGGAGCCCGCCGGGTGTCCCTAGGGATTGTGAATGGTTAACCAGGTACTCCAGGCATGCCATGGGTACCAATTAGTCCCCCATGAAAAATGCACCCGGGGAATTACGTAACGTGGGAAATAGATATACTAAATAGAATCACGGGGGACCAATTGGAGGGAAGAAGTGAAATCAATCCCGGGAATACATTTGGCAAGAGGGAGGCGAGAAGGAGGAAAAGGGACTTCTCTTAGGGGCTCGAGGATACCCGCCGAAGGACTCGACCGACGCACGGGGTAATTAGCATTCTGGAAACTCGAGTTGGCCGGAAAGCAATAAATTCGACGGATTCTTTTTTTATTCGTCTCTATTTACAGGCTGAGACGACGTCACCGCGTGCGTCACGATTTCTCCGGGCCTTTCGAAAGCCATCGGCTCGTAAATGACGACCAGTAATGACCAACGTAATTGTTTAGCACCGGTTCAACTGCGTCATCGAATTTCCGTGGGGATTTTTAGGAATTCTTACGACACCACCCGCTCGAGATTTTGTTTCTTTTATGGGGAAACCTTGACATCGGCCGTGACGAAACTCTGTGAGAAACTCTTTAAACTCTCGATCGTGACGTCAGATCCCGTGGGAATTGTGCGCATATACCAGAAATCCCCGCGACTCCGGTTATGCGGACAGGACGCGGAAAAAAATGGCGTTCTCGTTAAAAGTTGTCCCTTGTTTGTTATTTCCAGTTTTCAGGGGGGGCCGATCGATCCCGGCAAAATGGCCGGCTCTGTTGTTCCCCCCGGCTGATAAATATTGCAACAACAATGTCGACACCGCGTTTGTTAGTCCGAGAGCCAATCAGCTGGGCTCTCCGGTATTTTGTAATTAGCGATATTCGGTTCTCGAGTCTGCGGCGGATTTGCGGAATTTAATGCCGCGGGTGAATAATTCTAAATAATCGCCAGGTAAATATTAATTCGTCGTAGTAATGTGATTATCGTTTATTTGAGCGTTAGGATTGTACGATTTTAGTGAATTACCTCAATCGTGGGGTTTGCGACGCGCGAGTGAGGAAATCCAGAGGAACGAAGAAATATTTCCTTCGTCGGAAGAATAATTCATCTGGGCTAAGTAAACTTATATAAATTGTCATCACTTCCAAGGGACGTGGCATCCAATTTATTCAAGTTTATTAGGGAGAAATAATTACTCATTGAAATAAGAAAAATATACGAAGAAATATTTCCTTCCTCAAAAGAACAATTAATCTGGCCCAAGTAAACTTATATAAATTGTCATCACTTCCAAGGGACGTTGCATCCAATTCGATCAAGTTTATTAGGGAGAAATAATTACTCATTGAAATAAAAAAAATATCTCTTCGGTATTCCATGAATTTCTTGGCTCGATGAAATTTCTTATCCTCGGTGTTGGTTAATTAGGCTTATTCTTGATTTTGGGGCAGAATTAGGGGATCGGGGGAAAGATTCATGGTGGGCAAGTTAAGGTGGGAGTTCCGTGGTTTTCTGACATTTTGATTGAAAACTGTTCCTAAACTAGGAATACTAGCTCGACCGATCGCAGCCGAAATTGAGATCTCGTTTAAAGTTGGCGGGCATTCGTTTTATTCAGGGAAATCCCATAGGGGGCAGTCGATCAATTTATCCTACCGAAGTCGCCGGTGTATGTTTCGTAATATCCATTAGGCGAATAAATGCACCTCGACCGATATATGGAGGAACGTGCATCTTTAATTAACAAACCGCCGACCTTCGCGTTACGCCATTCCTAATTACCGTAGGGATTAAAATGACAACGGAAATATTACTAAATGAGGGAATATCATTAAACTCAATGAAGCAGACCGGAAGTTTCGAATAGTGTCAAGGATCTCGACCCTTCCGGGAGAAGTGAAAATTTCTAAACCACCCAGATGACATAATGACGTAATGACATCTATGATAGAAAGCCCTGACGATCCTCTTATCATTCATTGTGATCGAGTAATTGCGAAGGCCTGAGATTGGATAAAAGTGAGGCTCCCATGGCTCACTATCAATCATGACATCCACAATCATCTTGTCTCGAGACCTCGTTCGCGTTTTCTCATGCACCGACAACATACACTGACAATAAATAAAGAATATTAACACCTGAAGTAGTGATAATAATGCAGATCAATTTACAATTAAATAAACAATTTAATAAATACCTAACTAAATCGTGCCGCTCTCGGTTGTTAATATTATTCATTCCTCCCACAAGCATTAATTCAAGCCGACTAATCGTACAATGAATAACGTTCCATTAATTATTCCTATTTCACTGAATTTATTAATTATCCGCCACACTGAGAAAAAAGAAATGACTCAAAGGAGCATTGATACAACAAAATCCTGGGATTAAATACGTCGAATGAAATGTCAGGATGAGAGAAAAAAGAATTCGTTTAAATGAAGAATATCATTTTTCTTCTCAAGAGAAACATCATTGTTTCTTGCAATTATACATGATTTGGGCAACAATATATATTTGTTTCAGTCAACAAATCATTTTCCTCAGTGCATGGTTTCGAGGGTTTAATTTTTAGTTACTCGAAATCGCGGTTTTGATTTTTTCTTTCCCTTATAGACCCGTAATCCAATCCGCGATGGATGCCGAGCAACAATATATATTTGTTTCAGTAAACTAATCATTTTTCTCAGTGCATGGTTTCGAGGATTTAATTATTAGTTACTCAAAATCGCGGTTTTGATTTTTTTAGTTACTTAAAATCGCGATTTTGATTTTTTTAGTTACTTAAAATCGCGGCTTTGATTTTTTTAGTTACTCAAAATTGCGATTTTGATTTTTTCTTTCCCTTACAAAGGCGCAATCCAATCCGCGATAGACACCGCCGTAGATCGGACCAATCACGCGGCACGTCGCCGGCTCCAACGGAAATTCCCCACGCGTCGTCACCCCCTATAACGTCCCGATACTCGATTAATAATCCGATTTCCATCGGGCCGCGCATGAGTGGGGCCGAGCATCGGAATCTTCGATTTTCCCCCGATTTCCGGCGATTCCGGGCGATTTCGAGCCGGCGAAAAGCGAGGCGAATCGAATCCGTCCGCGCGCGGTTTTTCACGCTCCTTGCGGAACGGCGCGCAGGCTCCATTCAGACGTGGGCCATTTTGACCGGCCTTTAAATTTTGATCGCCACGTCCGGGCCGAGTCCACCTTTAGAAAACCAGTCGCCTCGATGTCGATGCACCCGCGGGATTTTATTACACATAACGCCCGACGCCGACAATTTTTACTACCCGGCTGATTCCGCGGCGTACTCCCCGGGACGTTTTTTTCTTTCTTCCCCCCATTCTAAAAACGCGGCCCGCGAGTTTGACAGTCGCGGTGAAAAAAGAAAAGAAAAACAGAGAAGAATTAAATACAACCACCGACGCTTTCGAGAGTCCCCATGAAAGTGCCACTAGGGGGGG